CTACCAATGTTGTACTTGGCCTACCAATGTTGTACCAATGTTGTACTTGGCCTACCAATGTTGATGTTGTACTAGACCTACCAATGTTGTACTTGGCCTACCAATGTTGACCAATGTTGTACTTGGCCTACCAATGTTGATGTTGTACTAGACCTACCAATGTTGTACTTGGCCTACCAATGTTGTACCAATGTTGTACTAGGCCTTCCAATGTTGTACTTGGCCTACCAATGTGGTACTTGGCCTAGGCCTACCAATGTTGTACCAGGCCTACCAATGTTGATGTTGTACTAGGCCTACCAATGTTGTACTTGGCCTACCAATGTACTAGACCTACCAATGTTCTACTAGGCTTACCAATGTTTTACTTGGCCTACCAGTATTGTACTAGGCATACCAATGTTGTACAAGGCCTTGTTGTACCAGGCCTACCAATGTTAATGTTGTACCAGGCCTACCAATAGTGTACTAGGCATACCAATGTTAATTCTGTACAAGGCCTTGTTGTGCCAGGCCTACCAATGGTGTACACGACCTTGTTGTACTGGGATTACCAATGTTGTACCAGGCCTACCAATGTTGATGTTGTACTAGACCTACCAATGTTGTACAAGGCCTACCAATGTTGACGTTGTACCAGGCCTACCAATGTTGATGTTGTACTAGACCTACCAATGTTGTACCGGGCCTACCAATGTTGTACTAGGATTACCAATGTTGTACTAGGATTACCAATGTTGTACTAGGCCTACCAATGTTGTACTAGGATTACCAATGTTGTACTAGACCTACCAATGTTGTACTAAGCCTACCAATGTTGTACCAGACCGACCAATGTTGTACACGGCCTACCAATGTTGACGTCGTACCAGGCCTACCAATGTGTATGTTGTAAAAGGCTTACCAATGTTGTACTAAGCCTACCAGTGCTGTACTAGGCCTACCAATGTTGATGTCGTGCTAGGCCTACCAATGTTGTACTGGGCCTACCAATGTTGTACTAAGCCTACCAGTATTGTACTAGGCCTACCAATATTGTACTAGACCTACCAGTATTGTGCTAGGCCTACCAATGTTGCACAAGGCCTACCAATGTTGATGTCGTGCTAGGCCTACCAATGTTGTACTGGGCCTACCAATGTTGTACTAAGCCTACCAGTATTGTACTAGGCCTACCAATGTTGCACAAGGCCTACCAATGTTGATGTCGTGCTAGGCCTACCAATGTTGTACGAGGCCTACCAATGTTGTACTAGGCCTACCAATGTTGATGTTGTACTAGGCCTACCAATGCTGTACGAGGCCTACCAATGTTGTACGAGGCCTACCAATGTTGATGTTGTACTAGGCCTACCAATGTTTACGAGGCCTACCAATGTTGTACGAGGCCTACAAATGTTTTAGGCCTACTAATGTTGATGTTGTACTAGGCCAACCAATGTTGTACTAGGCCTACCAATGTTGTACTAGACCTACCAATGTCTTCTTTAAAAGAATTAAAACTATTCAACACAATGCTGCACGTTTAGTCTGCTAAACCTCTTTAATTTACGACATTGCACTGGCTTCCTGTTGAGAAAACAATTGTGTACAAGTTGGCCACCCTATGTCACAAATTCTTGAATGGTAACGCGCCATCATTATAATGAAATATGTTCAGACTGTACATTCCAACTCGCAGTTTAACTTATTAATGTCATCGAAATACACAAAAAAATTAAAAAATCCTTTTACCATCTATGAAACTTAAAACAATGGGTGAAAGGGCATTTGACTTTGAATACCAAGGCCCCAAGATCTGGAATGCTTTGCCAAGTACTTTAAGAGAGATCAAATCTTTTGATTCATTCAAATGTCAGCTGAAGTCATTTCTGTCTTTAAATATTAATAAGATGAAATAAAGTTAGAAACGTTAAAATGCACTGTACATTTTTATTCATTTTTTTTTTTTTTTTTTGGGGGGGGGGGGGGGGGATGAGAAAACTAAATGAAATGATCTCTCCCCCGCCCCTTCAAGGAGAGGCGTCAGCTGACGTGTGTGTGCCACAAGGACCTTCCAACAAATACTGTAGAACCTCCGCGCTCTGCAACCACGGTGTGAGAAATAGAGGCCCGTTCTGAGGGTGGCTGGAGGGTGCCACAGGGTAGATCCTTCTTCTTTTCATTTCGTGTGTCTGTCTTTTGTCCCAGCATAAAATGACCGTTATTGTTGATGTGCTTCTGTTTACTCAAACAAACAAACAAACAAACAAACAAACAAACAAACAAACAAACAAACAAAAACATTTCCTGCTTTTGGGGATGAAAAGTTGAGACAACGAGACCAAGGAAAACCCCGCGTAAGCTGTGCATATTTCTGTAGTGTATAATGTACACTCGACTTTCTTGCTCTCTCATATCATCTCCACGGAACTCTCTGCTCTATTCTCCCTCTATTCTCCCTCTATTTTCCCTCTCACGGGCATTCTATGTACATGTCAGGGTGAGGGTTAGGAGGGGTGGACCACCTGGTGTCGCTGATAGCATTAGCAACAACATGGTCGCTAGAGATGGGTGACTTCTCCAGCATGAGTGTCCTTTGACACTGCCCACCTATATGACCTTTGACACTGTCCATCTATATGACCTTTGACACTGTCCATCTATATGACCTTTGACACTGTCCATCTATATGACCTTTGACACTGTCCATCTATATTATGACCTTTGACACTGCCCATCTATATGACCTTTGACACTGCCCATCTATATGACCTTTGACACTGCCCATCTATATGACCTTTGACACTGCCCATCTATATGACCTTTGACGTGCCTTTTATCAACGTTTTCACTTAAATCCGTACAGAAATCGGTTTTTTAATGGACATAAAAAGTTTTGAACCGTGCTCTAAAAGTTAATATTAAAATATTTCCCAACTGACTGGAGAATGTCGATCTTTGATTTGATCATTTGGCGAGTGACTACTTTCACCACACTGCCACGTACGTACGACAGGAGTTACAAAACAGGCCAAACAGGTGCAAACTACATGTGTGACCAACTGTACCTTTGTTATAATAATATATATA